TTTTTTTTTTTTTTTGAGATGAAGTCTCACTCTGCTGCCCAGGCTGGAGTGCAGTGGTGCCATCTCGGCTCACTGCAACCTCTGCTGCCCTGGTTCAAGTGATTCTCCTGCCTCAGCCTCCTGAGTAGTTGGGATTACAGGCCTCTGCCACTGCACTTGGCTAATTTTTGTATTTTTAGTTGAGACAGGGTTTCACCATCTTGGCCAGGCTGGTCTTGAACTCCTGACCTCGTGATCTACCCGCCTTGGCCTCCCAAAGTGCTGGGATTACAGGCGTGAGCCACCACACCCGGCCGGCCTTGAGCTTCTTAATAACTTTATCGTTGAGTTTGTGTTTTAAGTGAAGGGTAATGACTGATGGGTGATGGAGCACACACAAGGGGTCTTGGCGCCTCAGCTCATGCACAGTCCCACCTCCCAGCCCCTCCTCCTTCCTCTTGAGTGCCTGCTATCCCATGGCACTATGACTCTCCCTAGCCAACTCCACAACTGCTGCCCACTTCTGCCCAGGGCAGCAACCAGGTCTGATTGCCCAGGGGTGTGGGAGGGTGGAGTCTCCTGTCCTGCCATCACCATCCACCCTCCCAGTGGGTTCCTGGGCACTGTCTCGCAGAGGATCAGGGTGAGGCACAGCTCCCTGACCCTCTCTGGTGTCTCTGAGTTAAGGTGGCAGCTATCCTTGCCCTAGGTTGGCAGTGCTTCAGCTACCGGCAGGGGCTTCCACCCACCCCTGTCCAGGTACCAAATATGGCCTGGGTGGCAGAGGTGGCCATCCCTTAGGGGTCACCCATCCACTATGAGAGGGGGAGTTGACTTCCCCATCCCCTGGCTGGGGCCCCACATTCTCATTTTGTGCTTGGCCCTGCAAATGATGCAGCCAGCCCAGGCTATTCCCTTTCTTATCTCTGTGTCCTTGGGCAGAGTACTCCCTCTCTCTGTGTCTCTATTTCCTCACCTTAAAATGAAGGTGACAACAACAATAATACTACTTCAAGGTGGTTAGGGGACTGTATTAGGTTCTCTAGAGGGACAGAACTAATGGAGTAGACATATACATAAAGGGGAGTTGATTAAGTATTAACTCACATAATTACAAGGTCCCACAATAGG